TATAAAAACCAAAATAAAAATACAACTAATTACTTCTTTTGGTCCAAAAAAATTACAGAGTACTACTTCGTATTTTGCAGTCATTCAATGCATTTTATAATTCTTTTATTGTATATAAACGATCAAGTCTCAGAGACAACCGAAACTCTCACTACTGTTAGTGAGTATTAGTGCACGTCAAAGATATCTAATTCCAAATCTTTCATAAACATCTTCCGGTGCTAGATTGTTATTTAAATTTCAAAACAACAACTTTCAATAATGACTTGCTATAACTATGAATAAAAGTTAAACACAGTAGTTATTCCGTTTTGGTTTGTTATTCAGGAAATAAAAATACAATTTCCAGGACATGTCCAAGTACACGCAAATTGACAATCCAAATCCTAACATCTATGAATCTTCCTCCGTATCCAAGAATGACATGAGAAACTTCCTCACACCAAAGAATCACCTTTCTCACACCTCCAAGAATGACACACTTGTAATACTTTCTATTATTAGATCATAGATCATCATAGCACAACCAAAAATAGTTTTGAATATCCTTGAAAAAAATGTGATGCGTTTTTAAGAGATTTTAGTTAGAGATTGTATCTCTTATTTGTATTGTTGAAAGTAATAGAAATATTTTTTTCTCATATTAGATCGGTCCTTTTATTCGGAACCGGAAGTCCGTTTTTAATCATGAATAGGAAGTGAATCGAGATTTTAATTTCAAACAAAAACGGACATAAATACAAAAAAAAATGATCAAAAAAATAGGTTTGAATGATAGATTTGAATGTAGTGTATAAATAAGTTTTCCAAAACCCCCAAGTAATCAATGTTTTTAATTGTCAAATGTGATTCATGAATACAAAAAAAAATGATACAAGTTATTATATACGGAGTACCGAGTATATCTTTTTGTGGTCCAAATTGATTTTCTCTAACTCACACCAGAAAGACACTTCATAGATACTCCCTCCGTCCCTGAATTTACTTTCAACTTTCCCTTTCGTCCGTCAAAAAAAGAACTTCACTTTCCCCTTTTGGCGAAGAATTTGTGGTTCACAACAAATTTAACACATTCTTACACATTTTTCTTTTCTCTGCACAACTCTTCACCACACATTTTTCGGGTGCTTAATTTCTGGACCAACATTTATTTGTGAATACTCGCTAACGGCGCAACGTATGAGTAATTTCACTAGTTAATACAGATTCTGAAATACAAGTGTCACAATACCCATTAGTAAGCCCTATTATAAGAAATTCTCTCAAAAAATCTGCACAATACTGCATGAGCCTCAAACAAATTGCTTTGAAAGATTAATTAAATTGATTGGGTTGAATTGTCATTTGTCCAACGATCGAATTCCTCCTTATCGTGTTGCATTTCTTCTTCAGTTCACAAAATGAAAAACAATAAGAAAATTCAATTGAGATACCAGAAATGCCTTTGGATGGATTCAGCATGATTAATTCTTATACTCCCTCCGTCCCTAAATAAACTTCCAACTTTCCTTTTTCGTCCGTCCCAATTAAAACTTCCACTTTCCTTTTTTTGGCCAGAATTTGTGGTTCACAGCAATTCTTACAGATTTCTCTCTCCTCTGCACAACTCTCCACCACACAATACCCACTATCTTAAACTCTGTGCCAAAACTATTTGGAAGTTTAATAAGGGACGGAGGTAGTATGTGTTTTTACCTCATGTTTTGTTTTGTCTTTTGATGAAATGGAACGCATGCCATTTGTCTTATCCAATTGTCATATCTTCATCAAGCAGTACATAAAGTGAAATTACATGAAAAGGCTGCACTTGAGTATGAGAGTGTTGGGAGTCACTAAAAAGTTCGTGTTTATACTTGAGTTTTGGAGATATATAATACTACTCCGTATTTGCTAGCCTTCTCTTAACTTAGAGTCCATTTGGTAGCACGAAAATCGGATGTTTTGGTTGATTCTGCTGAAATTTATGAAGTGTTGGCTGAAGTGGCTACATTAGCTGATTATGCTTATTTAAGGAAAAATTATCTTTAAAATATATTTTATTAATAAAATAAAGAAAAAGTTATATGTAAAAATAGCTAAAATGGTCATCTACAGTAACTTCAGCCAATACAGCCAGAAAAGTAACTCTAACCTTACTTTTTTTGCTTATTACACAATTCAGCGCGCGAAATAAAAAATTACGTGTTTGGTGAAAAAGCTGGCTGATAAGCCTAATAAGCCGAAAATCAGTGTTGCCAAACGACCTCTTAATCCCTGATTCCATGTAACCCAAGTACAGTCTGCAGTTCACACTTCACACATGCAAGGAATTTAACAAGTCTGGCAGGTTTATTTCATTAAAATTGTGCTAATCCACCACACTCCACAGTGAAAAAGATCAAATTTTATGTACGGAATATAAAGATCAAATCTTGTAGATAATTGTGCAGTTAAAAGCACAGTTATCTTCAACAATTAATCTGAATGCCTTCTCGATTGAAGTTTTAATTGAAATTTGGTATGAGTAAACTAGACTTCATGAATAAGGTGCTCAAAAAATTCCACCGGGAACCGCCCCAAATGGCGACGGCCGAACAGAGCCTCCTATACAAGGACTTATTTGACCTTTTTGGTTAAGTTCGAGGACCTATCTGACCCTTTTCCCGTATTTGAATTGACCTTTATAGCAAAATAAAGTGTGTAACATTACTTCTGCTCCGGTCAACTTTGCTAACTTACAATTGAGAGAAATAAGAAAATGAAAGTTGAGTGGTTGAGATTTGTGCAAAAGAAAGCGAAATAAATGTAGCAAAAAATTAGTTACTTAAACAACAAATATTATGAAACACCCACAGAAAATTGACAAAGTTGAATGAGGCAGTGACGTCTTGTATCTTTGTATAATTGTATTATTCGAATGAATTGTAAATGTACAGTCTGAGAGGCCCAACAATAGTCTTATGAGACAGACATCTCGTACCTTCCCTGAGCAACTCAAATGATATTGGGCTGCCTTGTGAAAAAACCGCTAGGAGGAGACAAATTTTAATTTTCTAGTCTAAACTCTGGCCCCAAGGAATAAACAATTATTGTAGAGTATTTGAATTGATATATAAAATGGTATTTTATCCAGTTGATTTTGTAATGGTCATTTTTAACGTATCTAGTATCTCATCTAAAATTAGAAATAAAACATTTTCATGTAACTTTATTAATTAGCACTACGTACATCATAATGATCATGTTCCTTTAATACTCCCTCCGTAACTTTAAAATCTTCTCATTTCAAAAGTAGGTAGATTAAGAATAGTGAAAGATGATATAAATTATTGAGGGTATGATGGGAAAATAGTGGAATAATGTGGTGGAATGTAGGATAAATCCAAAAAAAGTAGTTGTAATAGTGTATTATTTTAAGAATTATTGAGGGTATAATGGGAAGATTTAGAAATGAGAAGATTTTTTTGTTACGGACGAAAAAGGAAAGTGGAAAGATTTTTAAGTTACGGAGGGAGTATATTTCAACTTACTAATCATATCATTTTGTCAGGTTGAATTAATATAGTGATTCATGAGTTTTGTATTATACTTTTTTTTAATAAGTACTAAAAAATAATTACATTACGGAGTATATCTCATGTAGTATTTGCTTAGAAAATTAAAAGCTTACCCTTATCCTTTACAATTTTTGTTTCCTACAGTTTAATATTTCGTATTTATTATGGGGATTAACTTTATTACTTGGATGTTTTCTTTTGGACTGTTTTCAGTTCAGACCAGACCAGAATTGATTTTCGTAGTTATAAAATACACAGAGACCAGACGTTTACCAGACCAGACCAGCAAATTTCAGTCCAAAAGAAAACATCCTAAACATTATAGATCGAATCATGATTCATGAACCACATTACTCTAATTCAGAATCATTGCTAAAATTTTCTATGTAGTGTCTAATGTCTTGAGTCCGTTTGAGAACAGTAAAATCTAACACTTTAATTTACAGAATCACTAGCATCTAAAAATATGAATTTTAAGTTCAAAGAAGAATAAATGGCAATTTAACCACGTCCGTAACATAGAGATATATACAACGCGCTGGTACGATTCTCTATAGATGCAATGTATTTAACAAGTGTACGAGTAGTCTTTTTCATTATCTATATTTGGGCTCAATCTGTACTCACTTACATTTGTTATCCAAAAAGTTAATCCCCAACCCAAGGGTTCTTCTAGTGTAAACCCGACAAAGTATGTAGGAGATTATAGATCACGATATCCGTCGTAATAATGCTAGATCTTATATTATGTGCATTTGAGGTTCAATCCAACACACAAGAATTGTGACCTTCCACGATCGAGTTTTACTATTTGAGCTATGATATGTACATTTTACCCTCTTACGTACATTTATTTGTGAGAAGTCTTTTGGATTTTTGGATTACTGTTTCTTTTCGCATGGGACCCTCTTAACATACCTATCAGGAATCTAGTGAAACAGTCAATAACATTTTCTAGCTAGGCCGGAGCTTAAAAAGTTAGATAAAATCTATTTGTACATAAAATTTGTAAACATTTCGCTTATACAATGTATACATCCTTTAGTTGCACGTGTATAGAAGTAGCTTGTGCATGCACATAGACAATTACGTATAAATGGTGTAAAGTATGCACAAATTTTGTGTACAACAAGAATTGTTGAAAAAATACGTAGGGTATTTCAAGAATTGTTGGAAAAAAAACGTAGCGGCAAGTTTAATATTTCAAGCTCTATTTTATCATTTATATATATTTTTACATTTGCACTGTAATTTCCACATTTGTATGTCACTCATTTGTTGAATTTAGTAAGTATCGATCTCCAAAACATTGTAAATTTATTTATAGCATTCACATTAATAAGGAACTACCTCCCAAATACTTGTAAATAAACACCACGATCATAGAAAATATAGCAAAATGATAATAACAGTTTTTTGTAACAAACAGCTTCCTTAAATAGAAACGATTTAATTTCTACCTGTGAAGAAACGACATTTAAAATCACTGCTGACAATAAAGCTCTTTATATGGCTGTACAAATAGATAGACTACAATAAATTCCCACGTAACAACCTCATTAAAAAATTGTCGTTATTTCTAGGACACTGACCCTATTTTTACGCTAATTAATATTCGCCCAAAAGCGTTGAAATGTTAATTGTTGTAATTAACAAAAACAGAATTCCGAACTATAGAAAGCAATTCTTTAATTATTTCATTAATAAATTTAATTAATCCTGCTGATTAATTAATTATTAGGGGTTGTAGAGGTGGTCACCGCAACTGCATTTCCAACCCAGTGGCTTATAATTGGAGTACCTGGGCAAGTCAAAGTAGTCAACGGGCATGACCCGGGCAACGCCGCCTGGTTGACCGCCGCCGTGACTCGGTAGTGTGGGGACCTGCACCGCCATGCATGGGTGGCAGTGGTCACACTTGTTGTGGCAGCTCGGTGGCGTGGAACCCAGCCTTGATTTCTCCTCGGCCAGCAAATTTAAATCCTAGCCCAATTTAATAAAAACCCAATAAATAAATAAATAAATAAATAAATAAATAAATAAATGCTCTAAGATATTTAATTAAGAAATAAATAAATACTCTCAGAATTGAAATGTATTTACCCGATTGGAGGAAGGCAGGGAATGGTTTATAGTTAGGCAGTGGGAAGGGGAAAGAAGATGAGGAAGAGGAGCAAAAAATAGGGAAAATAAAAAGAAAGCAAAAGGGGGGAATAAAGAAGCAGCCATGGTTGCATTTTATTTAGCTTTATTTATTTTATGCGACGAATGAAATTCATCACCTGAACACAAAGCTGGAAGCTAAGCTATGGTAGGTAGCTATGATATATAGCAGCAGCTAGCAGTATACTAAGCCAAGTAGGTTCGCAGAAATACTCCCTCCGTCCCGAAAACAATCTCTCGGTTTGACTTTCACACACTTTTAGAAAATAAATTTGACTTTACTGTAGAGTGCACTGTTTTGCACTGTTTAAACACTGTTTGACACTGTTTAAACACTGTTTGGCACTGTTTAAACACTGTTTGGCACTGTTTATCACTTTTTGATGTAGATAATTTACCAAATAAGGAAAGTATTGAAGTGTGAAGTTAATTTTGGGACATCCATTTAGGGAAAGTGGGAAGTTGTTTTGGGGACGGAGGGAGTATAATGGAAAGTAAAGAACAAGAAACAACAATAATGAGAAAACTATTAGTCCGTACTACGTATTAAAATGCATACATGTATTTGCAATAATGTACACCCTTCATCCCATTTTGGTTGTCCTACTTTTCTTTTTGGATTGTCTCAAAATGAATGTTTTGTTTCCTTTTTTGGCAAGAAATATGTGGTCTTTATCATTTTACTTTATTCTACTCAAATCTCAACCACAACTTTTACTTTTCAACCACTTTATTGATAACCATTATGGGACATAGGTAGTATTATTATTACGTGTATTGTCAAATTGAAAGTGAACAACCATTATGGAACGAAGGTAGTATCATATTCCGTGTATTGTCACTTTTCCTTATTTTAATTTGACACAATTTCTAATAAGTTATTAAAAGTTAAAGTTGTGATTAATTAACGTGTGCTAATTTACATGTGCAATGTTTTTTATAATTGTACATACGTGATTAATTGAGCTATTTTTAATTGAATTTGTAAAGCTAATAAATTAAACTATTCGTTGGACGAATCATTCAATCAGAAATATTAGGAAGTTTTTCCTGCCGATACAAAATAATAAATGAGAAACTATCATTCATAGAACTAAGTAAAAGTATAATACAAGTTTCTAACTAATAAGGTAAATTTTAAATAATTAAAATTTAAAATTATTCGTGTAACTTATACAAAAAAAAAATTCATCGTAGGACTATCACTTATTCGTGTAATAGCATATGACTAAAATATAGATGAAATACCAAAACTGCCCTACAAAGCCACTCATCTTCCGTTCGCGACTTGTGAAGCTTGCGTTGAAGGATGTCTCTGCAAAGTTGGTCTTTGCAACTTTCCTAGGTAATAGTCTTTTCTTCTTCTTCTTCTTCTTCTCCTCCTCCTCCTCCCCCCCCCCCCCCCCCCTCCCCTCCTCCTCCTGCTCCTCTCTTCTGCTGCTTCTCCTCCTCCTCCTCCTTCCCCCCCCCTCCTCCTCCTCCTCCTCCTCCTCCTCCTTCTTTCAAGTCATTTACAACATTAGCAAAATTTAATGCAAAAAACATTAGCAAAATTTATAATGCGTATGTAAAAGTAGTTTATAAAAAAATTGATGTTCTTAAAAGTCATTTATAAAGTTATCAACTGATTATAAACAACCATTCAACCAAACACCATTTTACAAACTGCTAATATTATCAATTGATCGAAATAGCCAACATAATCTGTCGTTATCTATCGACCAACACCATCAGCCAACAATCAACATCCAACAACCATTTGCCAAACACCCCCAATAACGGATTCAATCAGCGGGTTTGACTAGCGGAATAATTTGGCAGGTTGTCAGAATATGTTTGGCAATTTAGCTGTTTGGCCATAAAATTAAAAGAAAACATCATTTTTCAAAATGCTAACCCAAAACTCTCTTATTTGCGGCGTTTCCATTTCTGCGGTTCCATCCAAAAACGCTAGTGCTCAGTCGCTATTTACCAAACAACGTTTTCACTTATCGAAAAAGCCAAAAGTGGTCAAACCGCATTTGTTTTGACTGAAACGCCATTTACCAAACACCTTCAAAAACTAATAATAGGAGCGAATGACTCCTATATTGGGAATAAAACATATTTAAGTCCTAATTTGGATTTTCATCAATGTTTTAGTCCTATTTAGGACAATTACTTTTCACAAGATGAATAGGTCTATACCTATTCAGTTTGATCAAATCCAGAATAATTCAATCCGGTCCGGGTTTGACTCAGTGTTCACCCCTAATTACCCATTTTATTCTCGCCAACTCATACTTTCCTGAAGAGCAGACAATGCCGAAGAGTAGATAAATTGAATAGTAGTGAGTGTACAAATGAATGCTCTGATTTCAATTCCAAACAATAGTAGTTTCATGGAGGAGTTACATGTTCAAAACTCATCCCAATTCAATAAAGGATGTTGACATTTAATAATGAAGTATTAAACAAATACTATAAGAGAGATTAGAAAGTCTAACAAAAAAACAATAATATATTACATTGATTCTAATCCATTCTCTCCAAGATAATACTAAGACAAAAAAGGTAAAAAATCTTGAACACTCTCCATTTTATTATTATTATTATTATTATTATTATTATTATTATTATTATTATTATTATTATTATTATTATTATTATTATTATTATTATTATTATTATTATTATTATTATTATTATTATTATTATTATTATTATTATTATTATTATTATTATTATTATTATTATTATTATTATTATTATTATTATTATTATTATTATTATTATTATTATTATTATTATTATTATTATTATTATTATTATTATTATTATTATTATTATTATTATTATTATTATTATTATTATTATTATTATTATTATTATTATTATTATTATTATTATTATTATTATTATTATTATTATTATTATTATTATTATTATTATTATTATTATTATTATTATTATTATTATTATTATTATTATTATTATTATTATTATTATTATTATTATTATTATTATTATTATTATTATTATTATTATTATTATTATTATTATTATTATTATTATTATTATTATTATTATTATTATTATTATTATTATTATTATTATTATTATTATTATTATTATTATTATTATTATTATTATTATTATTATTATTATTATTATTATTATTATTATTATTATTATTATTATTATTATTATTATTATAGTGAAGACGTGCTTACATGTGAGATCAATAACAAAATTCTAGATTGAGTTAAGGGAATAATACAATAAAAATTGTAAAAAAAAATGGAACTTTTATAATGGAGTAAAATGCATAAATAGTACCTAAATTATCAGCATCATATCATTTTGGTTCTCGAACTAATAAATGTATCATTTTAGTCCTTAATCTATTTAATTCATGTTAATTAAGTGTTTCTGTCAATGTTTTGATGTTAAACTAACGGAATGTGCTAAGTTAGTGTCATGTATGTGTAAGGATGTTTTTTTGGGGGCTGTTTTCAGTCCAAGACTAGACTAGACTAGACCAGACCAGACCAGACCAGACCAGACTTGACTTCCGTAGTTATAAAATACACAAAGACCATACGTTTACCAGACCAGACCAGACCAGAAAATTTCTGTCCAAAAGAAAACATCCTAAAGCAACATATTTATTAGACAAAACATAACTCATAAATTTTTTGATTTAATATCTAAATAAATTAGAAAGAAATTGCTTCAAATCATCATAATATAAAGTGTTAGATAAAGTTGTAACTTACTAATATATCATTTAAATAAATATTCCTGATACGAATTAATAGTTTAAAATATAAGCTGCTAAGAACGAAGAATTTTTATATATGCAACTACAAAGTAACGGAGTCACTATTAGAGCATCTCCAATGCTACAATGTGCATCATGCACATGTGGCATGAGTGATATACACATAAATATTAACAAATAAATTATGTCTCTCTTTATTTGAATGATTTTATACAATTTTGGTAAGTTTTTCCCTGGAATGTTAACTGCAATGTCAACATCTAGACGGTCTTCTTGACATTGTGAAGAAAAACTTACCAAAACGGTATAAAACCATTCAAATAAGGAGAGAAAAAATTTACTCCCTCCGTCCCGCTATGATTGTCTCATTTTACCTTTTCGGTCCGTCCCACTAAGATTGTTACATAACTTATTTGGTAAAGTTTGTGTGGTTCTAATTTCTAAATCATTCATACTTTATTCTTATTTTATCAATTCAATATCAATCACATAAACTCACTTGTATAAATAACCGTGTCACCTTCTCTTGTACCAAACTTAGGGGGACGGAGGTAGTATTTAATAATATTTATGTGGATATCTCTCATGCCACATGTGCACCGTGCACATTGTACCATTGGAGATGCTCTTAGGATATATATTCAAATCTAACATGTCTTAAATTTAAAGTTTAACTTACTGGATATAATTTAGAAAAATAATTTAAATATTCCAAACTTTGAAGGGATATGAAGTAACTTAAACATGCACATGTAATACACATACTACAAACTTTATATAAAAAGATAAGCTAGTGTCATTATCATATGTTTTTATGGTCTTAAGTATATAATTTAAAACACCCAAATCATTTATTAGGATGTAATTAACATTAAATTGAACAAGATGCACTATTATTTATTTCACATATGAAACATTAATCAGATGCAAACATTAACATAAGCTAAGTGTATTTTAAATTATATACTTTAACAGAAGCATTTATTTCATAGTTAAGAATTGGCAACTTGTATTCACTAGCATTAGCTCTAACTCTCTGTATTCTAGCTCAGATTAGACGCTTGGCTTCGGCTTCGGCTTCAATAGGATGTGTTGTAATTTTCCGTTATTGCTTAATAAGAACTCGACCCGCTTAAATACTTAATGTTTCTCCTCCTATTTGCTAAATACTTGTGCCATTTCTTTCACATAACCACTAAAATATCCATCAAAGTCCAAGGGAACGTGTTAAGACCTTGTAGTGGGAGGAATTAACCTCAACGAATTACAAAAAGTACCGCGTTTGAATTTTGAATATTTACACAAAAGACGCATGTTTATCCAACCGTAGGTGGGAGCCTTTGCGACACTGGGATAGATGAAAATGAAAATGAAAATGAACACA